CCCCACGCTCGTGGGGATGGGAAATTCCTTATCCGCTCTGGCAAGATGGGGCTTCTGATCTGACCACCGGAAAGATATTATGTATTTGAAGAAATGCTAGTTATAGACACACTCTTATGGTATGCCTATAGTGTTCTTAGCACGACCGCACCATTAAGTACCCTTCCATACCTATGAAAAGAACATCCGAAAAGACATATAAAAGCCCAAGTCTAGAGAAACTGCGAAGGAACAAAAGATAGACTTCATTCGCACAGAAGAAACGATATATCAGATATTATACATGAATTACCTACTTATAGCCTATGAGCTGTTTATCGGGCAAGCAAAAAAGGTATGGACATCCCGCAACTCACTGAGCCTCTCTTCTTGTGAGGACTCGGATATTCCGAGTGATTCTCCGCATGAAGTCTTCCCTCATATTTTGAAATCCCATAACTCTTGCGCGTCTTCCTGAGAGCTTCAAAACACGTAATCCCCCGCGGACCTTCCAAGGTTGACAATTGCCTGATTTAATCCCGGACTTTTCCCCGGTCACGTGCAGTGAGGCCGGTCCGGGATTTCCGGCCTCACCCAATTGTCGTCGAAGAATATAAGCGCAACGCTCAACGTCGTTATTATCGCCTGAAGCCTATTGGGGAATGTCTCGATGATGCAGAATCCTCGGTCCCCGATCCAACAGCCTGAAGTCGAGCAGCCGGCCGCTAAGCGCATCAAGCGGCCGCGTGCGACTCAAGCTTGCGACAGATGCAGGTTGAAGAAGTATAAGTGCAATGAGCGATATCCGTGTTTGCATTGTAAAAGTGAGTGACCAGGTTATAATTAGTAGCGGCATTTCTCTGACAATTACAGAAAGCGGCTGGGATTGTGTGTATCAGGGAACTTATCGAGAGCGTGAAAGTAGCCGGTCTGCAAAGTAGGTCGATCACTCCGCATATCCAGTATGTTTGCTAACACTCATAGTTATGTCGCCGAACTGGAGAAGAAGCTGGAAGAGCTGACCTCGAAGCTTCGTGATACGGAGGCCAAAGCTTCCTCTAAAGGTCCTATTCCACCAGCAGCTGAAACGTTATGCTCTATGCGCAGTGATTCCACGCCACGGGATGTTCCGACAATATCCGAGGCTCGTGAAGGACCTAGAGAAAGTGCAGAGAACCAGACCCACGAGTTCAATCACATCAACGCCATTGAATCTCACAGTAGTACGTCCCCGGCTGCAGTCATTGGCCATCTGAAGAAGGAGCTAGAGCCAAAATGCCTAAAAGAGCCTTTTTCTCACGCAGCTGGATACTCGATCATCTCAACACTCCGTAACCCAAACCTGTCTCCTTTATACGCCACTGGACCGGAGCAGATGCTGTCAATTGAACAGTCAAACTACTATTTCGACCAAGCTCATATCTTCATGAATGGATATTTTGAGAGCATTCACTTCATCCATCCGTTTGTTGATAAAGAGGACTTTTTCGCGCGTGCTAATGATCTTTGGTTTAATCGATCACGCAAGCCTGAGCCGAGTTTTGTCGCTTTATACCTCAGTGTTCTATCGCTTGGAGCTTTGGTGCGTGTATGGGATGAAGGTACTCTGGCCGGCTTGGGTCGGTTTGAATGGAGCCGAAAGCTGTTTGGGGAAGCGCAGGGATATCTGAACAACCTGCGGTTTTCGAACGATCTAGAAACTGCTCAGTGTCTGTACATGATGGTACGTGGGTGTTTCTCTATGCGTGATCGCAAGCTAACTTGAGCAGGCCAAAGTTTGTCAAAATGAACTCAATCCGAATTGTGAGTTCTCATTCTACTTTTTGATTTCAAGATCTAACAGAACAGTGGCATACATGTATCTTGGTCTCGCGGTACGGACGTGTCTTTCTGCCGGCTTTAATCGAGAAATTCCGTGTCCAGGAGACACCACGCAGCGTTCTGGCTGGATCTCAAAGACTTGGTGGTAAGTGAAAAGTGTGTGTTTCCATATAAGTTATAATTCTAACGAGGTGACAGGGGTCTATTTTCTTTGGAAATGTAAGTGCATTTTGAATTATCGTTGTTAATATGTACTGATCAATTAGTGAGATGAGTTTTTCGGTTGGACGACCGGACACCCTTGGAATGGACGAATATCACAACCGCAGCATTCCACCACGCGACGATTCCGAATTTGCCATCATCCCATGGATGATTGATTTTGCGCAGATCATTCGACAAGTATCTGTCCAAATCTACCATTCTCGCATCTCATTACAGGACAAGTTACAACTCGCTCTACAGATCGAAATGGAAATGGATCGTTGGCTAGCGAGGCTTCCAGAGATGATCAAACCCGACATTGGCGGATATAGACCGTCTCGTAGTGCCCTGCGCGACCCGAAGTGGGCACGAAGACAACGGCTTGTATTGGGAATTAGTAAGTTATCCATGGGACTTCTTAACTCCCGACTAACGAGTGTAGGGTATTATAATGTCAAAATGTTGCTCTTCCGGCCTTTCTTAAGCCACTTTACGCGCAAACTCCGACATTCTCCAAACGAATTGGACCAAACTTTTGACAAATGTTTGGACGCGGCTTTGAAGACTCTCCAGGTGCTTCATGACCTTTACCGAGTTCACACATTTTTCCGTTGCTGGTATGTTTCTTTGCTGAGTATTGTTCCCTTGCTAACTCTTTAGGTGGTATAACACAACCTATATAATGCTTGCTACGTCGACACTCCTCCTTCCAATGTCTAGGCTCGGTATGTGCGCTGAAACCATTCCTTTGTTGCAATCTGTGGAAATGGGTGTGGAAATCTTGGAAGCTATGGATGAATGTGTCACATCACAAAAGTCGGTCGAGATTATCAGGCAGTACCTCAGGGATTTCCGAGCATCCGGAGCCTCACAGCCACCAGGGGACGATGAAGCCCCATCTGAGGCGGGACAGGTATTTGACGTGCCAGTATGTATTATCGTCCTGCTTTCCTAGAATTTGCTGACCATATAGGAATGGGCTTATGGTTTCGGTCTGCCGGATTATTCTTTCGAGGGAATTGCTCAGCTATTTGACGATATCGGAGACCTCCCGCTGGAATAATGATCTCATATACCCGAAAATTTTTATTCTGTAATTATTTGCCCCAGTGTATCTGGGGCTTTGGAATCTATTTGATGTCGGCACTTGTCATTGCGACTTAGCATAGGTTCCAATCATCTACATGTGCCCCGGGGCCCCGGAAAGACCGAGCAATTGGCCCACCCACTACTCGGGAAAGCCGACCGACTTTCTATTGAAATAAATGATTTCCCTGAATCTCTAGATCTCACGGACTCTCCAATCTCTCATCCTCGGGGCCTACTCTCAGATTCAAGCACCTGTCACTATCAGAAAGCGGTGTGCACTGTCGGATTATCTATCCCGCCGATGTTCGTGTTTACATCCCTGGATTGGAATCTCACCATATTAAAAGCTATCATCGAAGGTCATCATGAACATCGCCGATGATCCACTGCATCCTCAAGAATTAGCCTCATTTCAAGTTTCAGCCCTCTCTCGGTCGACATGGCACGCGTTACTCTCTTCTGCTCGTTATTCGACTCACTTGCCATACCGCTGCAGTAGCATCAAATCGCTGTTGAATCAGACGCCTTCAATCCCGCAAACCGCCCAAGTCATCGAAAATGTTGAGAAAAATTCAATCTTTCTCGAAGGGTATGCGACTTGGACAGTCTCACCTAATAAAGTATTGAATCATAACTGCGACTTGCCTCCGACCAAAAAAACGTCGCTGCGTAAAGTTTATATTGGAGAGTCTCGTCCAGGAGTTTGCAGCTTGTCGAATGACTACTTCGATGAGTGGCCAGGGCTTCAGCCGCTAACAAATTCCGCCGGTAATTACCTCGCTGTCTTCGTGCTTGGCTGGTCATATATTTTTTCTGCAAGATTGATAGAACTCCGTCGAATAACAAATGAAGACAAGGTCGTCTATACCGACGAGATGGCGCAATGGAACTTAGACCATGATGCAAATGCTAGCGACTACTTTGAGTTAGATATTGGGGGCGATAGTGTCGCTGAAGTGAGATGGTGGGCTGCAATCCTCTCAGGTGGACGTGGCTGGCAGGCCACTCTTATTCGAGGGAATCAAGCCTATTTCCCGCCGTGGGAATGCCATTTGAGTAGCAATGCTTTCAGGATATGTCATGATACAGAGTTGCCATATCTCCTTCCCACGCTTGAACCCCCGTCTTCGGCAGTTGCACGAGAGTATCTTCACAACTTCGCTCGACGTCACGATGCTTTCGATCAACTTATCTGTGCACTGGCTGCTACCCTGACATTGCCAATGCATGGTCGGCTTGGTGCTGCCATTATTTTGCCTAGGCCTATGCGTAGGCACGGGACGCACCAGCAAACGGAAACACTATTTGCCGACCAAATCCCTACATTCGATGACATTTCTCGGTATATGGCATTTTCGGGTACGTCAGGTCTACTTGCCTCATGTCTATTTGGAGGACTCTGGGAGCCGGGTATTCCTTGCAATTTGGCTAGTCAATGGCTCGATCCTGCCATGAAAGAAATCACTCCAGCCCTTTTCCAAATGAAACAGCCCCTTCCTGTTATATGGGCTCTATCTGAACGACGCCCTAATCTAGCCTCATTGTGGCTAGGTGCCACAATCACAGGCCTTTTGCCGCAAATAATTCGAGTGTCTATGTCTTTCATGCCAACAATTTACCTCGAAGGAGTGGCATGGACTCAATCTGCTCAGTCCTTCATGGATTCTCCTAATCATCGCCTTGTTAAACCTTATAGAAACGGTCAGAAGGTGATGATATCTAGAGGGGATGAGTTCCGTCTCTTGTTTTTGACGGACACCCTATCGAAAAGATATACAGTCCCACCACTTTGCCCTTATTCACCATTCGGCGAGGTTGATATCCAGAACACTTCCCTTGAAGTCAGACTTCATCTCGCTTGCGACCACAGGCTAGTATATCGTTCCTGGGAATGGCAATGTAAAAAAATGGAGACGTTAAGCGATTATGGAACCCCAACCGATTCGCAATCGCTCAAAAAGAATCTTAAGCATATTTCACTTCTGTCAATCTGGATTGTCACAGGAATTGCTTGCGGAAGCATGTTCAACAAAACTCTTTGGACTTCCAGTTTCACTCATACGGTAAGTAGAAGGTTGCTTCACCTATTCGTTTAAATTACATGTCCTAGCTAATAACATGGGGATTTTAGCAACGCAGTTTTACCTTTCTAGGTAGCCTTACAACAACATGTATTCTACCAAGATCTTTCAAGCTTGTTGCATACAAACATATTTTAAATTTTCGAGCTTGGGCGGCAAGGGCCATATCGATCTTTATCTCGAAGATACGTCCGCGTGCGATACAGCAGAAGGAAGAAAAGAGTTTGAATGATCGGCTTTCTAGGATTGCTACACGGAACTTGTTCTCATGGACGCTGTTCATCGATGGAATTCGAACAGAAGAAAAACCACTATGGAAACATGACTGGTTGGAAGATTTGATTGAAAGGGATCTTAGTGTTGAATCGAGTGAATCCAGCTCATCTGCGACGGAAGGCGAAGCAAAACACCAGACCACTGAGTATATTGAAAAGTGGCTAGAAGATGCCTGTATACGAAGCCAACCTGTTTATCATAGCCAGATTCGTCAACATACACTAGATGGCGCGACCGAAATTCGGAGGGTTGTGGAGGTAGCAATTCCATAAACCCTGATTTTGGTCTCTCGCCCTTTGGCAAGCCGCCTTCTTTGTCCAACTGCTAGGGATCAATGCTCGTGAGTGGATCCAAGCTTTCGTGGGGTCGAGAGTCCACTACTCACGTTTGATCGGAATCTAACTTTGTATGGGGGTCTTTTCCCGATGGTCCGTTATTGGCATTGAAAAAGCGCGATGGGACTGGAAAACCGGGTCACAGCCGACGACACGAGTAATGCCGCATCTGTTCTCCGAGATAGACCTTGTTAAATCGCTCACTGTGTGCTTGTTAGACAATCCAAAACCACAAAAGTTGCCCATCATCTAGCCCAGGTTGCCGGCGAAAACTTCTGTGTAAGACTAGTCTATTTTAGGAAGGTTTCCCCTCAAGAGAAAGTTTCCTATTTAGGACATTTTCTCTACTGGCTTCCCTGCCAGGGAAGTTTCTATATTAGGAAAGAAGGATCATACTGTAACGAAGACATGACAATCATGGCATTCCAGAATAATCATACTGCAGAACTTCGTAAATGGGACATTGATAAAGATGGGGGACGACTGTTCAATATTCAAATTTGTTCATTCTGACGATCCGAAGAATCACGACAATGAACACAGTGTTGAACTCACGCTTACTGGATTTTGGGAGCGAGGATACTATGCGCTTATCCCTAGTGGCCGCTGCATTGCTCTACTTCTTGTTACAAAGCCTTATTGGCATCCCAGAATATGAACAGGCCCGCCTCCGAGAATTGTACAGCGTTCCGCAACAAAATCTATTTCCAGCAGGGGTGCCTTGCAATTTGCAAAGACGGAGCAGAAACATTTGTGATACTCTCATGTCTCCGGCGGTAAGTTACTATGCGCTTTCTTTCGGGCAAGGGCAACCCTTCATGAGATGAAAGCTGTGACTAATAAGACACGCAGGATAAAGGAGCTGTTGTCTTCTGGGCATCCCAAAGCGGCACTGCGGAGGCTCTGGCATCTCGCTATGCCTCTGAACTTTCGACGGCTTTTCCCTTGAGGGCGATGACTGCCAACCTGGCAGACTACGATCATAGACATATGCCAAAAGTACCGTCCCAAGCACTCTTGGTGTTTATTTTGTCAACATTCGGTGACGGTGACCCTCCTGATAACGGCACCGCGCTTCTCGAGTCCCTTCACCAGCTTCGCAAGCAAGGTGGCAACCTGAACAATGTTCGATATCACATTTTCGGCTTGGGGAATTCCAACTATACCTACTTTAACAAATATGCGCTCGATATCGACGGTATGCTGAAGGGTATGGGCGCTACGAGGCTAGGTCGGCTTGGTCTGGGTAACGATCGTGAAAACTCCACCGAGGAGGATTTTGTGGCCTGGAAGAATGAGACCATCCAGCAAGTGGCCAGAACATTGCATCTGCGGCCCGTGGAACGAGAATATTCCCCTCGCATACAAATTCGCCCTTGTGACACAAGGCACGGAGTCTCGCCAACCGTTTATTATGGCGAGCCACAGTATGCTCCTCCCACTGCTGATAGGAGTACCACCGTTGTTCTTCCTATTATACAGGCAAAACAGCTTATGCTCTCCAAAGAGGCCATTGGCGAGCCTGAGAGTTCACGGGAATGCGTTCATCTGGAATTCAGCCTTGAAGGCCACCCCTCTATCACCTACGAGACAGGAGACTACCTCTTTATTTGGCCGGTTAATCCGGAACAGGAAGTCTCGGCGCTGCTGAAAGTTTTGGGCGTTTGGAACATGCGCAAGAATATTATCGATATCGTACCGGCGGACGATACCTCGAGCTCGAACATTCGAATCCCAACCCCTACGACCATGGAGAGTCTGTTCCGTTACTTCCTTGACATATGCGGACCTGTGTCTAGGGAACTTGTCCGTGGTATTGCTGAATTAACCTCGGATGGTGATTTCAAACGTCGACTCGAGGCACTCACAAGGGATCGCGACGCCTTTTACGAAGAGGTCACGTTGAAGAAGTTGACTCTCGCTGCAGTCTTACAAGCGGCCACGACGTCACGAGGTGAAAATGGATCGGCAATCAACGTAGCTGTGTCGTACGTCCTAGAGAATCTAAAGAAGCTACAGCCTCGCAGCTATTCCATTTCGTCGTCCGCCGCTGTGGACCCCCGTGTTGCGGCCATCACAGCACTCGCAGTCAGTGGTGTTATGGTGGCCACGTGCCGATCACATGCCGTTGCCTGGTTTGCCAGGCTTCACCTAGCTATTTAGCTAGATCTCGATCGTTTGTAGGAATCTAACCTTCTACATATCTCTCTCACCGCTCCAAGAAGTGGCCCTCCTCGTCCTCCTTGCGAGACATCATCGTGCCCTTATCATCGCTTCCGTGGGTTAGCCAGCAATTATTTGTTGCAGCTTCAAAAAGAATACAACCGCAGCTATTCAAGGTCGCAGCAGCCAACAAACTACCACTACTCAACTGCAGGGCCCCGTGGTCTATTGAAGGGGGGAAGGTTTTCGCCCATATCCGCCGAAGTAACTTCAAACTGCCACCAGACCCATCAACTCCGATCATCATGATCGGCTCCGGAACTGGCGTTTCGCCTTTCCGTGCTTTTGTTCAGGAGCGCATGGAGCTTAAGAAGCAAGGATGCGAAGTTGGGAAAACAGTACTGCTGGTCGGTCACCGAGCTCCAGACGAAGACTACTACTATCAGGATCTGTGGCAAGAGGCGAGCAGGGCTCTAGGAAAGAGGTTTGAAGTGTACACGGCTTTTTCACGAGTCGATACACAACCGCGCCAATACGTTCAAGATTTGTTGGCAACCAAGTCTGACCTGGTTCTCGACATATTGGCTGCTAATCAACCAAAAGGTGGAGTTATGTACATTTGTGGGTCATCACTCATGGCAAATGGAGTGAAGAAGTCTCTTGTGGAAATCTGGTCTCAAGGCCATCTGCAGTCGGTTGCTGGAACTGCCGAAGAGTGGGTTGGAGAACTTAGTTGCTTCAGGCGTTTGCAGGAGGATTCTTGGGGATAGGGTCCGGTGATGGATGGTTGAGACCCCATGTGAGTCTCAGATTCTGTTCCAGAGCATGATTTGCCCAGGCATTTTCTTGCTTGCAAATTCTCAGAAGCTCCAGCAGCTCCATTCTCTCCGCAGGATCATGAATCCATCTGTGGCCTGTACGAGTTAGCTAGGATTGAATGAATATAGGAGTATATTTCCGAACCGAGGGTGATAGCAAGGCACGCAATGACCTTTCCAATTGGACATGTGTTAAATCGAGCTGTTCCACAAAGAACACGGACGTGGTCTTGGACCTCACTCTGCAATAATTTTGGTCAGAATGCTACTTTGAATCGATGATGTGAAACAGCTTTCCAGTAGCCACATAGTCATACCTCCATCTCTTTATGATGATCAATGGCCTGTGTCAAGCGACTCGGATTGTACATGGCAAGGAGGAGTTGCGAAAGCCTGAAATGTACATAACCCGTCACTGGATAAAATTAAGCCCATACATCAAACGAGCAACAGACCCACTTCCACACTTACAACAAGCATTCAAAGCGAATCTTATTTCAGGCAATATTCTGCCAGTCCTCAAATCACAATCTGCGAAGAATATGGGTTGAAACGCTGGCCAAGATAGCTCTGACCATTGTGTCAACATTCGTTACAGATCCTCGAAATGTTGCTTGCGAGACTGTGCTTCGTCATTTCCAAAACAAAAGTCAGCGGTCTCCCCTGCTAGCTTCTGTGATCGCTTTGTCCACGTATAGATGTCATCCGAGTCTCCAGGCTCCCAGAGATGGGTCACATCAAGGCTGGTACGAGTTGGCTTCTGTTGAGAAATGGGGTGGAAAACATCCTGCCGCTGGTGAACCCAGAATGCTGACTTGGCTAATTTGGTCACTGGTTGTTGCTTATCACTTGCTATAGTGGCTGCGAAGACGTGGCCAGCTAAAATATGTGACTCAGCGTCCTGTCCATCTTGTCGGGCTATCAATAAGGAATAAGTAAACATCGCGTTTGATACGGGCCAGAAGCAGATTAGGTCGATTCGGGCGGCTACCTTTGGACTCTTCATACAGGCGTAGAATTACGACTGATGCAAGCCCGGCCCCATCGGAAAGTCGGACCGGGTCATGCATTAGCGCTAAAAGGATGTCAATGGCCTTTCGGTAGAACAAGGCGGCTCTTCCATTGTTTCTGGCCGGTTGCTTTGCAGTGGTAGAAAGATGACACTGCTAAGATAGAGTAACATAGAACAGGACAGCTGGGGGCAATCCGAAGAACTTCAAGTGTGAAAATCCGAGTCCGTGTGATCAAACCTGCATCAATCATTGCCGCTATGGTCAACCCAACGTAAGCGCTCGACATGGGATTATCTGATAGCAACCCACCATGGACGTCCTATAGATTCTCCGAAATATTGCATGAGATACGCATCCTCAGAGGTAAGCAGTAGTGGTGAGGATGTTGATAGCTCGTTTCCAATACGCTGTCCTTCGGGCTGCGGGCTCGTCTCAGGGCTGATGCTGTGGAACCTACCTAGTGAAGAGGGGACCCCTGAGGGGCACCGACAGCCCTGCCTGCGAAACAGGTGCGAGAGCAGAGTCGTCACTGGGAGTAGTAGGGTGCTAGAGAGGAGAACACCATGGGGTGACTACTGAGAAGAGAGGTGGAAAGGTGTCTGCGTTGCTATCTAGGCCTCGGGAGTGCTTTTATGTCACATAGCCGCTTAGTCATCCTGCTCTGGAAACCACCTTGATGGATTACATTATCCGCGGGGAGAGACTCGACGGGAGTCTGGGGTTGTGAGGACCATTGGGATGTCTCCGATCGGTCCGACCGGGTTGACTGCTGAGAAGGTTTTAAAGGGGCACGGGCATCTTGGTCTAGCCTTGGGCTAGGCAGGGTGCGGGACTGGGAGTCAGGGGGCGACAAAGGTTTGACTGGAGGGACCCAGTTTCTACGAGTTGAGAAACGCACGTTGAAGCGCCGAGTACAGGGACGACCGGCTGTACGGCATCGCCAACATGAAGGGGTTGCCCGGTTGCCTGGGCAATGTGCAAGTCCGAATTAGAAAGTGCCATCCAGACGAGGAACTGGTCAGTTGTGACTAACAAGAAATATGTCGTATACGGCAGGCTTGACAGACAGAGCTTTGATCGTCAGGCGAAACCATGCTCCCAGGCAAGTAAGCAGGGACTAATTGGATCGAATAGCATCAACGATGGGAAGCTAAAGGGCCGGGGGAGGGGCAAGGCGACGGAGACACTTAAAACTTCCCCAACTCAGTAGGTGGAAGACTCGAAGTCTTTTCCTCCTAGTATGGATTAGCGAGATATAGTGCCGATCTCAGAATGGGATGGGGATATGTGGAAAAGATTCCACGGGGTATTTCTTTAACTCATAAAGGAAAGTTGCCTATTTAGTACTAGTACTTGGAATCAACCGCGATATAGAAAAGTTGCCTTTTTGGGCGGGATTGTCACCAGCTTCTGGATGATTACGAACTCCCAAAGAACAGAAGTCTGATGATGATTTATCTACTGCATATATAGCCTCACTACCACCACCCGTCGTCACCTGAAAAACAAGTGTACCTCGCCCACAACACTAAAACCGACTAGCATCATGTTGTACATCACGTTCGTCGCAGTAACTGTTGTCTTATGTCCTGTGGCGTATTTCGGCTTCTGCTTCATCGTATATTTATACGATGCAAAAGCCCTTCGTCGACTCCAAAACTTATCGGTCCTTTCTGGCCTGAGTGATATACAATGGGTATGGGAGTCGATTCGCGGTCAGCGATATAAGACTCTTCATATGGCTCATCAAAATGCGACAATTGTTCGTGTTGCTCCGAACGTTCTTTCCTTCAATCACCCAAAAGCTGCTACCGCCATTTACGGACACGGCACCCCAACCACCAAATCGCCTTCTACGACGCTGGTCATGGTCATTTCAAGAATGTAGCCGACACGCGGGACAAAGAAGAACATTCCCGGAAGCGACGACTTCTTGCCACCGGTTATGCTCTTACCACACTCCTTCGGTGGGAAGACAAAGTCGCGAGCCGTATCAATGCTCTCTTGAACCAGTATGATAAGTTCTGTCTTCGGCTAGATGTCGCGAGAAGGGCAGATGCTATTCCAGTGGATCATCGACGGTGGATGGACATTTTCACCATTGATGCGATACACGACATTGGCCTCAGTGCGAACCTCCGCCTAATAGAGAAAGGCGATGATGTACTCGAGGTCCAAAATTCGCGCGGCCAGTCCTACCAGTGTCAATTCCGCAAGTCGCTGTGGGGGTGAGTTGCTCGTCCCTTTACGTTTTTTTTTCCCCCTAGGGCGACCCATTTACTAACATGTGTGCTAGGAACTTGCGGGTTCATGCCTCATTTGCCTGGGCTCCGCGGTGGTACGGCTTGCTTAAAAGACTCACATGGTGGGATTCGCGATGGCAAGACAACGTGGCCTTCAATGATATTGTCGCCACTGCATGCAAGCACCGGATACAGCGCCATTTAGCAGGAGAGAAACTGGATGACTTTTTCTCCTTTCTTCTTGGAGACAAGAATGGCGTACCGAATATGCTGATGTTAGGGGAAATGACAGCGGAGTGTTAAATGCTGGGAGTGAGACCACCGGCATAGCTCTCGAGCGACTGCGGCGAGAAGTAGACGAGGCACTGGACGGAATCGAAGATACGAAAGTCGCGCCCTTTGCCAGAATTCGTTACCTACCGTATCTGAAAGTGTGCATTGACGAGGGCTTAAGACTTCTGCCACCCAGCGCCACCACAACTCCACGATACACGCCACCGTCGGGTCAGGACATCATGGGCTACTGGATTCCGGGTAATACTGAGGTGCTTTGTCCTACCTACAGCCTCCAAAGAAATCCAGATATATTTTCGAATCCCGATGTCTTTGAACCAGAGCGGTGGTTGAGTGACAATGCTAAAGATCTGCACACATCGTTTCTTCCCTTCAGTGCAGGGCCAAGGGCTTGCATTGGCAGGAACATCACGTACATGGAGCAACAAATGTTGATTGCATCTCTGGTGCATCGCTATACGTTTGAGTTGATTGCTCCTGATTTCAAGCCAGCGTATGAAGAGGCGGTTACGTGCTCGCCGGGTCCTATACCGATCTATCTTTTTAGACGAGATGAACTAAGAAAACTCTTACGTAGATGGCAAATCAATACATTGAATCCAAATTATTCTGGCATCTCATGATTCTCATCGTATAGCGTGATCTTTGGGGGTGTTGAAATTATGAGTTTGGATACATAGAGCCTTTTGTGACAACCACCTTTTTGTTAGAAATTCTAAGTCCTACCTAGATTGGTTTAAATAATATGCCACAGACAGAATGTCAAGATACCGAAAAAGTCCTAGAAAAGTAGATGTTCCTCGTATATAAAATGGTAACATCCAGTGCATTCACCACTAAACGACAAAAAGGCCACTGCATCAACCAAATAGAATCCGAAGAGAAAAACAAAAGTCAAAAACAAACAAAGCAAAGGCCCCAAAGGTGAAGCTGTAACCAGGTAGCCGTCCATACCACGCATGTTCCAAAACCAACCCCAAACCTCCCTCCAATCTCTATAAACCACAGTCTGATTCTTTCACCAAGAGTAATTCCATAATTCCCCCAAGCAATAAGCGGAGTGCGAAACTTTCGAACCAAAAGAATATCCAGATCCGCCCTCGATGTATCCTCTATCCAATATCCTCGCTTATAACAGGATCACGGATTCGGGTTTCGCGGCTTATTCATATCGCTATCAATGCGTCCACAGCTCGTATTACCACGACCATTCCCGTATTTCGCATACGCCCGAGCGACCCTCGGATCGACATAAGGATTCGAAGTAGACGAGCTGCGACTCAGCGAGCCCGGGGATGACGGGGCCGAGGATCCCGACTTTTCTGCAGATGCAGCCGTGGAGTTCGCCGTTGCTCGGGCTGCGGCAACTGCGGCTGCAGCTGCGGGGTGGCAGTGTGGGCAGGGGGAGACGTTCAAGCCACAACCGTTGCAGCTGCGGCAGATTGTTTCTCTGGGAATTGTGTTAGGGTTGGGATGGAGATGTAAAGGGTGTTTTGTATATACCTCGGGGCATTCCCTGCACAACCTTTGCATGTGACTACCATCCGTCCTCCGACACATGATCTGTGATCCGGATCGAGGTTGTACATGAAGTGGGTGGAAGTGGCCATTGTAATGGATGTAGGGGTAGAAGGGAATATTGGAAGGTAAAGTGTATAGTTGCGGATAGTGAGGTATAGCCAAGATCCACCTGATATAAATTGCAGATGGCTTTGTGGTATTCTTCCCGTTGGTTCTTTCTTTCTCTCTCAATGGAAAGCCTGTCAATAAAGAATAGCCAGTAATTGTGAGCCCTGAAAGTGTTGTTGGGAAAGGAAGACAGTAGTTATAGGCTAAGTCCAAAGCCAGAAATGACCGAGAAACAACGGATATCTTATACAAGAAGAAATTAATCAGTGCCACCAACGAACTTCCCGAGAGTTTCCAAGTGTCACATATTCGATATGCACGACGGAGCGTGGAATCGATGACAGGAATCAGGATTGAGTCCACCAGAATGATCAGCAGGCCAAAGCGAGAGACGGTGATAGGACAATTCGCCAGGTACATGATGTACGTGGATATTCCATTTACACGCATGGGGACATTCCACTCGAATCCTCCGGTTATTTCTGCATAAAAAGCAAAAAAATATGATCCAACATGAGAGGGGGACGGCACAGAAACCGTTCTGGACTTAGTTGCGTTGTCAAACCCCGCTGCCTACGTGCTTCTGTCGAGCTAAGGTAGCCAGCTGCGGAAATGCAGGGTTCATGAAACAGGACCTGGTGGGGGATTCGTATTTCTCAATCCACACGACCGGGCCTACGTCGTTCATACGTTTTACAAAGGGTTCATTCGATGGTCATCCTGTGAGAGGCTTTTTAGAGCAGAAAACATGTAGTGAAACCAAAATGTCGCCAAATTGGCAACTCAACCCTTGATCTATCGTTGGGCAGACCGTCGTTCATGCGTGGAAAAGATGTCCTGGCTCCTAGGGGCATGACTGCCACCTCGTGATACAAATCTTGACCGCTCAAACTATATAATTATCCTCCGAATTAGGAAGGTTGATATGGCCACGAGTATGGGATGTGAAATGCCAACCACGGATAGTCGCATTGGGCCATGCGACCATGATGATCTTCGGGATGATGTATAGGGGCCATGGGTAGATTGTTGATCTTTCTTCCCGTGGACCTTTTCCGTCAGCTCTCGTATTCCCCTTGTATGGGATGAGCTTTCTATTGCAACTAAATCAAGTAAAGTACGGAATGCCATGCATGGAAGTTGGATCAGACGGTCAGCAGCCCATACACCGGATGGGGAATAGGGTTCAAGGGCTTCTACGGAGTACGCTCTTAAGACGTAGCTGCCGTGAGCAGTAAAAGGGAAAAGCCACGGTGACAATCTTGTGCAAGGATCAAATCGATGCAATGATCTTCATAATCTATACCCCATTGAGAAGCCATGGTTGTAAGCACAATCTCCGATAACCGTAGGGCTGACATAAAGAAATCCGGAAAAAGGAAAGAAAAAAAAAGAAAAAACCGAAGCTGTAAAATGAGGTGAAAAGAGAGTCCTGTGAGAGGTGTGAGCTACCAATAAGGAGCAAGAAGAAGAACTCGAAATTTCGAGTCACAGCCAATTGAAGTTCACAGACAGCCCTAAGCCGGAAGCGCCGTGGATGTGACACTTAGCCTCAAGCAGGTAACCGTGGAGGGGCTGCAAGGACAGAGGCGCCGAAAAAGCCCAGAAACCCCCTTTAACATTTCCAGTCAACATTGCAAGGATTCCTTGCAGCCATTTGACTTCACGTCGTCATTCTATATGGACCCAAAGCGCTTCTGCATACTGGTCACATGCAGAGTGAATCCTGTGGAAATGACACACATCCATGAAAACCTCGAATCCACTCGTCTCGGAGTTTTTTATGCGGTCTGCCACCGGCTAAAAGCTCGATGTAACCTAAAAATAGGTTCAGGCAGAACCAACGGGTATGCGCGTCATTAGGCGAGCCGCGAGATACTGAAAATTTCAGCCTCTGAGTGATCGTACTGTATGGAAGAGAGCCGGAAGAGAGAGCCCAACTTCAAAACTCCATGGGCTTGTTCAACCGGTTCGCTGTTGGGGAGGACACCTGCAGCCAGCCACTTCCAATCACACGCTAGTCCAGGATTCGAAGTCCAAAATTTGAAGTCGGGCTGGAGTCGAGGTGCATGGGCGGCAAGTCGCATCAACGGAGAAGTTTCCATCGATGTCTCAAAGGAGCTATCTGAGACTTCCGGAGGTTGACTGTCCTGGAACCAGAATGGTTACAAATCACCTTTCGGCAATTAGTGTCACGATTAAACCCCGAGGATGCCGGGGGCGAGGAAAGAAAATAAAAAGAAATTATGAGGGTCGCACGTAAAGGGAAAAAGAGCGACTAGCGACTCGATTGAAGTCAGCTGATATGAACCTGTAGGATACCTGCAGCCCATTTCCCATTGTCGCTGCAAGAGGTGAGTCTGGGTCACCTTTTCTTATGGCGTACGGGAATCATGCCAGGCGAATGCTGACCCTCGACAGTGAAATGATATCACGGTGCATTTCCAAATGAGGCCACCCAAGACTACCGGAAACCGGTACCTGGCAGGCACTGAAATGCTCTAGCCTAAAGACCAGGTGGCTCAGAGGATTACAAATCACATGATACGCAGTCATGAAATAAAGGATTGTCATTCTCCATTACGATCTGCATAGCTATCACATGGGAAAGAATAAGGTGCTACGTGGCATTCCATCTTAGAGTCGTGTGTGTAGCCACGGTAAAAGGGGAAAAAGCAAAGAAATAGGGCAGAAACAAATTATCCAGCCAATAAACGCCTTCGTGGCTGCCACGGCCACACCGCAGTGATCGGATGAGGATCTTGTGTGCTTGCCCATGGAGCCACGACATAAAAACAGCAAAGGGGGAGGGGGAGAAACAAATAAGCACCATGATCCATCCTTCCACGTAAAGCCAGGACGCCTGGGTAATTCCGAGATCATCAAATCGTTGGAATCACGCCGAAACTCACGTGTCGGCGTTAAATCATAAAATATCAAAGGGCAGAGAGCAGAGAGCAAAAGAAACCGAAATAAGGGATGCCGATCACTGGAAGTATTCATTGGGCAAGGATGCTAGCACAGCGATAGTTCCCAGACCACCCAGCAGAGCGCTGATGACAGCCGTGGTGGCGTGGCTTGCCAAGGACTTTGGGGTTGAGTGGTTAGACTTGATTCGCTTTGCCGGACGCTCATTCTCAGCAAATGCAGAGACATTCTCGGCAAGTGCGGAGCTGATCGCATCCTTGGCTTCAGAGGAAATTGTGTTGAGGTCGAGATCCGACTGACTAGTTGGCTCTACGGGCAATCGCTGAGCATCTTGAGAAAGACTGGCTTCAAGAGACGATGATTCCATCTCCGTTGCAGTACGCTTCAAATGTGGTTTTCTAAATGTTGCGAGGCAGGCATCTTCCGCGGGATAGCCGGTCGAGAATGGTCCATCGTGATAGGGATATTTGAATTCATGGGACAAGGACGGTACCCCAACAATGCTCTCAATCTTCCGTTGCATTGGTGGGTATTTGTTCTGACATGAACTTGGCAGCTCACCAGAAACAGTGTGTGTCGGGAACCGAGCACTTGGGTTTGTCATACCAGGAGCAGTCTGTCCCATCAATGGTTTGCTCTCGATCCGTGCGGGGTTCAGTGACTGGCCCTCAAAAGGCTTTGCAGATACATGCTTGGGCACTTCGACGGCATCAGTGTTGTTGTCACGTTCAAGTTTCTTCACAAGCTCCGGACCAAGCAAGGAACGGATATCAGGATTCTGTGGAATATGGTGTTCAAGACACCCATTGTCAGAGCAATCAGAGTCATTTTCGGATTCATCAGAGATCTCGCCATCTCCCTCAAGGTCCTCGTCATAATCTTCCTCAAAGTCTTCTTCCTCGGAGTCGTCCGACATTTCACAGCCGTCTCCGTGAAGCGAGTCGCTGTCGTACATGAGACATGGATATCTGGGGTAGCTCTCCGAGGAATCACTAAGAGCATCCGACTTAGTTGTGTATTCCTCGTATTCTTGAGCTTCTTCGTCTGAATCAACGGACTGGTCATCAGAGAGCCAGTTCTCATCGAAATTCGGATCCCAGTAAGGAGCCACATCGCACCAGCGATCTCCGATCATTCGGGGCTCCCAGGCCCTCACGATCCAGCATTTGTGACAGTCTTCAACCTCAGTCTCAGTCTCCAGCTGGCGCTTCAGGTCCTCGCTGAGAAGCTCCAGTGGCTTTTCAACGATCCACCACCAATTGCTCACCCGCTCGCCGCCTTCATCTTCATTGATGACCCAATATCTTCGCTTATCGACTGACCAGTACCGAAGAAGGTTGCCGGGCATACGATGGAACGATGTGTCCGAGTCCTCGGAGTCAGGCTCCCAGTAGACTTCTGTCCCAACGCAAGGTCGGAAGCTAGGGGTATCATCTACCCAGTACGAATCTTGGGAAATAGAACAACGGCGCGCAGCGTGGATGATGCGCCTGTCGTGGTCAACGTCGGGTATGTTGTTGGATTCACCCCAAGCCATGTCTGCCAGGCGCATGAACATAGGTCGCATCATGGTCCAATCGCTGTAACGAATTTCAGGTACTTTCTGGTAGCAGATTGCAGGAAGGCTATCTTCATGTGCTTGTTGTTCAGATGGAAGTTCAGCAGAGGCCGACTCAGCGAGAGATATTTTGGCATCTGAGACCAGTTTGGCGGGAGATGGATTGGTGTCGGAGACCGGTTTGGTATCAGGCAGTGGGCTAAGAAGATCCGGGACCAGTGGGGTAGGGTCGGGCACAATCTTGGAGATAGGCTCCTTGGTAGCAAACATAGTTCCCCAAAAGGGGTTGCCCCCGTCCTTTGAATGTTCGTCGCTCTGGGCACTCTGGACACTCGAGGCAGGAGAAACTAGAGATGTATCCATAGGCTGCAGAACAGTAGTTTCCCAAGATCGAGCAACGGACTCCTTAGAAGAGTCATCACTGGGTAGGTCGGTGTCCTCCATATCGCTATCGTCTTCGGGGACAGAGAAACTGTTGGTTGACGGACTTGGATCCGGTTTGATAGAAATACTATCATCTGGAATAACCACATGCTGGGGTTTGAGCCACTCAACCTTGCAGCTGACTTCGATGGGCTCAAAAACTTCTGTATTCGATTAGTTCCAGTGCTATTAGACTCAGATTGCTAACTTGCCTTGGCCACGGTCAACATCGACACCGAATCGGATGATGTCTCCATTGCGCAGCGGGGTATTCACGTCTGTCACCAGCTTTCCACCATTTAGGAAAGTCCCGTGTGTTGAGCCACAGTCGGTGATGAAAACCATCTACAAGGGAGGTCAGCGGGGTGATATGGTCAGAATTGGGGGCTCAAACCAACATTTTGGTTTGGTAGTATCTTAAGCAAAGCATGGTCACGAGACATGACCTGAGACTCAAACCAAGCGTTCTCTGCTGTAGGATTCCGGTTTCGATTTTCACGCTTTGAGGCACGTCCGATAGGCACGGTCTTATCATTGTCGGTGATGGTAAGGGTACGCAGAGGGTAGAGGTCTTCGAAGAGGGGGACGAGCGTCACGGTGGCTGTGAATTCGCAATGTCAGTTGCAAGTAAGGTGGCAATTAGGGCATCCAAGTACTTACCGCTTGGGTCCGACATGGTGAACGATAGATGAACGATGATAGGGTTTGAAAGGCAGGAATAGGAAGCTGTTTGTTTCTAGATAATGGTTAGACTGAGAGATAGAATTCCATATATGATAAGAGCGACCATGGCAGCAAGGTAGAGTGAGTCACAGAGTATCGGAAGATGAAGGGGGTGCAGAAGGTTAAGGGAGTTGGAGACAAAGGCAGCTTACCCGGGTGGTTCCAGGCTGCAACACGATCACATGGACCAGTTGAGACAGCCAGGAGATATCAGGTGTATTGTAGAAAAGTAGATTGCAAGTAGAGCGACTAGAAGCAGCGAATATAAAGAGTTGTTCAAAGCACAGAAGGTGAGGAAGGGTAAGGGAAGGAAGAGGGGTAGGTTCGTGAATCAGGTAGTAGTTAGGTTCACCGCTGACAACGGACAACGCGGGCCTTGAGGAGTAGCGACTCCCTTTGGAATGGGACTCAACTTGAATCTCAGTTACTGGTAAGTCTATTCAAATTCGAAGAAAGTCAGAATTCAACACGAAACTAAGAAGTAAAGTAGCCGGAAGCTCAGGAACAATGAGGTATGTATGAGAAGTGATAGTATAAGATAAGCGAATGACGCCGTTGGACTTATTTCGATGCCTCGGCTAGACAACACTTCCCTATTGGACACAGACTGGCTAACTAAATGAAGTACATCTCAACCTACGTACTGAGACTTTTCGCTATTTAGTTACTTTCCTCTCCGTTGAGACATAAAAGAACAACAGAGTCCGGAGATGCCGATAAGGGGTGGGGTCAGCTGATGTGGAGACACACGTCATGGTCATCCGCACACTAGGGGGAACTATGTATACGATGCAAACCATGTAAGGAGGATTTCGGAGTCAGTGAAAGCTTTTGAAGTGTATTGTAGGTCTGATGTTAATGAGCACTATCATTTTCCTCTATGGTACACTAATTACTACATGGTCAAACCCCAATGCACTTCCCCGGGCTCGGTCTGCCGTCCATCGGCCTATCTCATCCCGAGTCTTATCTCAGACAGACCAAGTACCAAAACAAAAAGAAACGAAAGAAGGCGGACGGGGAATATGTCAACCGATAGTAAATACATGCGGGGAGAATGGTGAGCCGGGGATCCAAAGAAAAAGGCTTAGACAGGAATACCCAAACCGGGGCAAAGAAAGACGCGAAGAAACGAAGAGTGAGGAGGGTCCGCTGACTTGCTTACATTCCAGGAGCACCACCGTTCACGGCGCCCATGGAGTTCAGGCGGGCAGCGAGCTGGGGGTACTTCTCCTGAACCTCCAACTGGGTGCGGGTGGCCTCAGCGTAGGAGATGGCGTTGATGATCTCGGCCTCGGTGCGAGCCAGCTCAGCAGCGCGCTCGAAGTACTTGAGAGCCTGGGAGACCTTGCCCTGCTGGAGGAGAAGCTGGGCCATGGTTCCGACAGCAATGTCGCACTCGGGATCAATGATGAGAGCCTTCTGGCAGAGGTTCTCGGCCTCCTGGAAGTCGTGCTTCCACTGGAACAAAGCAAGAGCCTTGTTGATCAAGGGCAGGACGTTGATACCCATGGGCTTGCTCTGCGTCTCCATCTCAACAGCCTTGTCAAACTTCTCAATGGCCTCGGAGTAGTTCTGCTGGTCAAGCAGAAGCTCGCCGTAGTAGTTGTATACATCGGGGACTTCCTCGAAGTTCTTTACTGTGCGGCGGAAAGTGGCCATCGCCGAGGCGACGGAGCCCATCTTGTATTGTGTCACACCGAGTTGGATGTGAGAGTAAATGAACGAACGGTCGAGGTCGATCGACTTCTGGTAGTCCTTGGCGGCTTCGGCGAGCTCGGTCAGGATGAAGTGCAGCTGGGCACGGTGGTAGTATATATCGGGGTCGTCCTTGTTGTGAGTAATGGCAAGCTCAAAGTCATCAGCCGCAGCGTCCTTGTTTCCAAGCTCCAGGTGCAAGCTGGCGCGCTTGATGTAGCTCTGAACCAAGGAGGGGGACAGCTCGACACTCTTGTCCAGGTCGGCCAAAGCGCCAGTGGCGTTACCGCCGAGGTAGGTGAAGGTAGCGCGCATGTTGAGGGCCAATCCTTCGAATTCGTCAAGCTCGCCGAGCTCAAGTGCCTTCTCGAAAGCGGCGGCAGCCTCTTCGTAGCCATCGGCAGTCTTCTTGCCCATAGCGACGAGACCCTTGCGCAGCTGGCCCTTACCGGACTCCTCGCTCAACTCCATCGACTCATCCAATCCCTCGGGCAAGGGCTGGGGACGGAAGCTCTGGAGGTAGTTGGAGACAAAGGTGGCACTAGGCAACTTCTTAGTGCGCGCCTCCAGAATGGCCTGGCTCTTCTTCTCGGCAACCTTCTTCAGCAAGCGTTCAAGCGAGTTGCGGCTCACGTCGTTGGAGAAGGCATCAATGATACAGCTGGCTGTGAAGTCGAGGAGAGCCTCGCTGTACTTTTCAAGGTGCTCATACGCAATGGCTCTTCGGTTGAGGGCCTTGATGTATTCGCTGTCCATGGCGAGAGCGGCGCTGGTGTCCTCGACGACCTTCTCCCAGTTGGATTGGACATTGTAGCATGCGGCGCGGTTGGAGTAGAAGACGGGATCGGGCTTGCAGATAATAGCCTTGCCGTACAATTCAATCGCGCTGGGGTAATCCTTGATTCCGTAGGCCTTGTTACCGGCAGCCTTGAGCTTGGCCGCATACGCGTTCCGGGTCTTGACTTGTCAGAGAAAGTGTGGGAAAGAATATGGCTTAACATACCTCTTCAGACAGCTCTCCAATTGTAGCCTCATCGACTTCGGGAAGCTCCTCGACAGGCTCCTCTGCCTTTTTGGCAGACTCTGGAATCTGGTCAGTCATACGACCACCGTGTTTGAACAAGAACACCTACCATCCTGCACGGATGCAGCCTTTTGCTCCTCCGCCTTTTTCTTTTCCTTTCGTCGCTGATTTTTGCTCTTCTTGGGTGCTGAGGGAGTGGGTTTGCGGGGATCGTTCAGGTAATAGACAACACCCGCTCCGGTCACGACAACGGCAACACCGGCAATGGTGTAAACAACGGCCTTGTTCTCTGAGACCCAGCTGGTGATGCGATCCCAGACTGATGCCGATGATGACTCAGTCAGCTTTGATGTATCGAGCACCACATTTTGGGCGGACGTAGGTAGCGGCAGTTCGTTCGACATGATGTGTAAAGCAAAGGGACCGACGCGACTAGTTCTAAATGTGGGCAGATGTCAGTACTCAATCGAATTTTTGGCGCAATTAGACTGAGATGGAAGACAACGGGGTCACTAACCAGACCTCGACAGTAGGAGTTAGAGATGGGGAAGTTCGGGAATGATGAAGCTCAGAGGAAAAGTCAAGGGTTCCGCTGACCGGGTCGGCCAATCACGCGCACTGCGCCGGTAACACTCCACAAAACATATCCGGATTAAACAGAGTCGGCTCATCAGGTTTCTTATCTCTTACACTCTTCCCCTTTTGTCCTTCGAATTGCGTCCGAAGTAACATCTGTGAATTCGTTTACTATTTGGCAACACTGACCTGGCGACCACAGTAACGACCTTCCGCCATTGACTGTCGCGAAAATGACCGAGAACTCTTCAAGCCCAGAATCATTCGAGATCTTTTCCTCCCTTCGCTTTGACCCAAGCCTTCCAGACGCAGCCTGCCGCCATGCATCGAGCTATCCCGATCCTCAAAAATCCCCCTACTACCTCCTCGCCTATCACCAAGACCGGCTCACAGCCGCAGCGGCTCATTTCCAATGGGACGAGGCTCTAAACTGGCTGCAGCAAGACCTGCAAGACTTCGAGGCGTTCCTCGACGCGTCAATTCCGGACCTAAGCAAGGCGTGGAGACTCCGAATTGTAGTGAACAGTAAGGGGAAGGCGAGAGTTGAGACGAACCCGACAGCGAGCATTGATCTAATGAGTTTGTTCATTCCCTCTCTACATACGCACCCAAGCGAACCGATATGGCACGTCCATGTCGACACGCAATCGACAACTCCTTCAGGCTTCACCACACATAAAACCACCGCGCGTGATGACTACACGTCTGCGCGCCAGAGGGCGGGAATTAATTCCCCGACAGACCTTGCCGAAGTACTGGTTGTGAACCCGGATGGCGAGGTTATGGAAGGCAGTATCACTACGCCGTACTTCTTGCGGGACCATATGTGGATCACGCCTCCGCTCAGCAGTGGGGGCAATGCAGGTACAACACGGAGGTATGCGTTATCTCAGGGTTTCTGTTCAGAACACACCATTTCCCGAGATGAGCTTGTGGATGGCGAGTTGTGTTGGTTGAGCAACGGCGTAAGGGGGTTCATTCGAGGGGTCATAGTCAAGTAAGAATTTCCCATACTACATAGTATATCTTCGATAGGTATACTTCGTATATATGGACGAGCCGATACTTGAATGGTATTGGTAAATTGATCAAAAGGCTATGAAATCATCCGTATTTTTGAACATGATTGCTCCAGAAAATGCTCCATCACAGGTTTATTTCTTAGCCTTCGCAACCACCACTGGGTTGGGATTCCCTTTCCACTCCAAGGGACGAGGACGCATGTACTCGGCCATGATCTCATCCGTAACCTGTGCCCTGCGCTCCTGGAACCCTTGGACATACTTCTGAAGCTCGGCGATACACTTCTGCTTGATCTCGCCGGTCATCATCTTTCCACTCTCGTAATCAGCACGGATGCGCTCCAGCTCCTCGTCATCATCGAGGAAGAATGTCAAGTACTGGAATGGGATATCGTTCTTGGTGTTGCCGCCCAGCTCGCGCTGCAACTCCGCGGTGTCCTGACCACCTGAGAAAGCGTGCTTGTTGATCTTGTTCTTGATCTTGTTAGGCGTGTCGCTCATGAAAATGGCGGAACTGTCGACACTGGCGGACATCTTAGATCCAGGTCCCTGGAGGGCCGGAAGGAAGATAGAGTGGATGAGAGAGGGCTTCTTGTACTTCATCTTCTCTGCGTGTTCGCGACATTGGCGGAAGTAGGGATCCTGGTCAATGGCGCATGGAATCAAGCAAGGAATCGATGCCACCTTCTTCGTCTCGGTGCCGAAGATGTGGGGGAAACTGGTAGAGAAGGCGGCGGCGGACTGGGTGGCACAGAAGTGGAACTCGCCAATGTTGTTGCTGTCGTTAAACCCAAATGTGCCCTTGACCTGGTTGATTGTAATTCTCTTGGCCATCCGGCACATGTTCTCGTAGAAAGCACCACCAATAAATTCGAAATCACTGAAGATAAAGGTCTTTTTCATATCGAATCCAACAGCAATGATATCCTTGGCGTTTGCTTTTGTGTATCTCTTGGAGTCCTCAATCTCGATCTTCTGGGAGTGCATAAACTTCTCGTCGTCGGTCATCATGATAACGAGGGGAACATCGAATACGTCCTGGAGCCATCTGCATTTAGATTAGTTCTAGTAATGTCCCGGTGATCGAGACTAAACATACTTGGTGAACTCGAACGGCACAGTGTGTCCGACGTGCATGCTGTCGCTACTCGGCCCACGGCCAGTGTAGAGGAAGAATGGCTCGCCCTTCTCATGCTTATCCAAAATCTTCGACAGATCACGGTGACTGAACACAATACTCCGGCGCATGAAACGGTGTGGCCGGTGGCCAGTCACTTTCTCAAAGCGCTCCAATAGAGCTGCATTGATGGGTGTGGCTCCAAACTCCCTTGTGAGCTTCTCGTAATCGACCGGCAACAGTTTTCCGGATTCATCGACCCCACCGGAGACATCGAAGGGCGTAACGATCTGGCCAACGGCCTTGCTCTCTGGGGTTTTCTCGTCGATGCTCAACGAGTTGAGCGCCGGAGGCTGGATTGCTTCGTTGGCCATAATTGCTTCTTCGTCTGGTACAAATTGGTCAGTTCCAGGTTTTCAATTGTATCAGTCAAAGGCCGGTTCTCACTTTATTTTCGGTTGAGGGAATCGTGAATTTCTTCTGCCCCTCTCCCAATATCGCGGGATGAGTCATGATTCCCGCTATCAGTGAGTACTCTGATTGGTCTGCTTCATACATTATCAGGTGACCAGTCTTAGCCCCGCGAAAGCCTTCCTTTCTGTTTCTTATTGCTGTCTTGTTGAATTAATTTTGAGTTGATAAAGGTGTGAAACTCTCTATTACATGGGGTCGGTTTCTCTGTTGTCCTTGCATTGCATTCAAAGTCTATATTTGGAAATAGAGTGCATCAAGACTGATCCGGCGGAAGTATATATTAACACACTCACTTCAAGGCCACGAATACTTTTATAAACTGCAAAGAAAAATAGATTAAATACATGAAGGAGTTCTCAGCAACATTAGCAATACAGGCTAGATCATAAGAAGAAGGTACTCATAGCCATAAACTCATGCCCGTGCCAGGTAACCTTAACTCAAGTATAGGGCTTTAGGCTACTCAAACTCTCAGAAGTAGTCATATTCTAGGTACCCGTGGACCTTGTAAGTTGATATTTAGACACACCAGATTCCCAAGATAATTAATGAACAGCCTGAGAGCACAATCTTAATGACGTCTATCTTCCAGCGCCGATCATATGTCTTAAGTTCACATTCCTTCCCATAAGTTAGGAAGAGACACATTCCACAGAGAAACACCGGCCATCACTTGATGAACATCGGAATGTAGGTTTTACTTTGGAACAGCACAGGATCCAGACTTGGCAGCCCCCTGCCTATCATGTACCGATCTAGAATCCCTGCCCAAAGATTGTACATAGTCTATATGCTTTCATGACATGTATCTCGCGTATAATGTATGTGTTGGCTACGACAGCGAATATATAGATTATCTTTTTCTCGCATGCAGCGCGGACACTGTATTTATGGATGTTTGGATAGACGCGGAAGACGAGCCTGGAGATATAATATGTACTAGTGCACTTTCGTATTGAGGCTAAGGCTTCTACTATTCCTGTATCTCTGGCTGGTATTTCGATGGTATGTGCCAATTCGATATTCAACGAACAGTCATAATTGATTTCGGAGATTCGATATGGCTGGTTCCTTAACACAACTGCCCGATCATTTTGCCTCTATTCGTGAGATCGTCTTCGGCTTTGGGAAACCAGATCATCAAATGAACAGGATGCCACCCAAATCCCGGTCTACACCATAATTATGCCCAAGATGGGGCAAATGTTGGATCCACATGCGCTAGCGTGGCTAGGCACTTTATGAGATCCCACTGTTGTGGGATCTATCTCAGAACGGTATCCATCTTCGAAAAAAAACGACGGTCTAGAGCCAGCGTAATCCAAGGATCAATATGATTTCTCTCCGGTAACAATGAGACACTCTACCAACTAGGACACCCCGGCTTCCCGCATACTGTCAGCCCAACAGTCTTAGTCAAAGTGATATAGATGCGCTGTACTCTACTCCTTACTCAGTATACTAGCCCACTTTCCTAGCTCCCAATAAGCACCTACTCCATCCCACCAACCACTACCCACCCTGCCCCGCGGATGCGCGGGGCTACCACCCCCTCGACAAGAGACTCCATGCAGCAGGCCGCCGCTAAGAACGCCTTATTCGACGGGCCTGCAAGCCACTATATCCGACCCCCTTACGCCGGACTGTCGAGTATATCGCCAAATGCGTAAGCCGACTGACTACACTCCGTATGATTGGTGACATCCGTCGGTTAGTAGCCCAGGGTAACGAAGTAGACTTCGGCGGGTGTGTCACTCATGTTTGAGATTATGCCGGTAAGCTTGTGTTTTCGGTCTGCTGCAGATGTTGGTGGCTTTTTTGATAATCGCACGTTATTGATGGTTTTGGTTGAGGGAGAAGACTGGGATTTGATATCGGCTTTTTGGAACTGTGGGAACTCCGAAGGGGTCCGGTTGACACGTAGCTTTTGTCGTGTTCTGTGGGAAAGGAGCCCCGCTTGCTTTGTTGGCTGTATGTTTTGTGATATTTTGCTCAGTCTCGGCGTTCTTTGTTTTATGCTAGGGTTGGTTTCACTGCGTCGGATAATTCCCGTGGTGGGGGTGAGGAGCCGAGGCTATGGTCTTGTAAATTCTTTTTGGACTGGACTTGGATTTTAATTTTGACTTGGGACTCCTCGCTACTCTGAGTAAGTTTCAACTTCTTGCTCATGTAGTACGGAGTACAGCAGGAAGGTGCAAGAGTATGCAGGGGCAAAGGGCACCACTGCCGAAACTTACTGCAACCTCGATTTACTTTCTAGTAGGAATGGTAGAAATACTTACTATTGTCTATACATTATTCGCCACTTGCAATTTCAGGGACTCTAAGTGGGCGAGGTGAAGAAGATCAGCTCTAGATATGCACCTGGGCAAAATACGCGATAGTATGAAACCAAAGCCAGCCCATTATGCAGCTAGCCCAATTGAGACTAATGTGTAGGTTGCCTTTGCTTTTGTACCTTTATTATTAGCTCTTATTTGACTCTACTGGGTCATCGTATCGTTTAGATGTTACTTTGTCTAGGGGATGATGGTTCATTAACACGAAGATAAGACAAATTCCTCATTTGAATATAAGATTTAACCTTTCTAAAAAAAGGTCTCCAATTATACAGCTCTTAACCAAATGCGCCACTGTTCAAGAGATAGCTGGATGGTTGGAGGCTTGGACGGGAATGCAAGACATGCACACACCGCAGGCCATCATGAGGTTGTATCAAGCACCTAGAACAAGTTCAAGGGAGATTCAGCCTATTGCGCCAGCCAGTCAGCGTCAACGGTTTCCTCCCTCCACGCGTAATGATAGGTGTCGGGTGATGCGGCGGAGCAAGGCAACACGGATGGTGGTTGGCTGGATAGAATCTCCTATCTAGATCAGGGATAGATTAGCTTCAGTAGAGGAAGTAGACGGATGACATGAGTAGGTAAGTAACTATTTAGTTGGTGGTTAGTCGGGACGTCACTGTATTGAGTCAAGACGCGTGCGAATCAGAGATGACCAACTTGACGCATGACACCCCCGGTCAATCACCGACTGGACGGGGATCTTGACCTTTTTTTTCATTTTGGGCGTCCATTCCCGCTATATCTAAACTTGATTATCTCCATTTGTGATATGAAGAAGTGATTATTTTGTCTTTTTCTAAGTCTAGCCCTTGGAAAGAGCTGGGTCACCGGGCGGTTGCGCGTGGAGAGCGATGTACTTGGTACCTTGTGAGATATTGGTTTCACAGGTGCCTGGCCTGAAGCTTTTAAGAAGGACGATTCCTAGTTCTTGTTTTCTTATTCTCTCACTCGTCTCGTTGAAGAGATTGAACATCTTAGGGCAAAGGAGTTCCCTGCAGTCCCACTATTAAAAGCGGCACCTTCGTCATCCCGTCCCCCCAATCTTCCGAGAAGAAAAAGAAAAGTCTGGATGTGAGGGCATCGGGGTCCTCGGACTCGTCTAAGTACGAGATTTCTATTTTTTTGGTCTCATTTCATTGGATTTCCCAGTTTGTGCCTCCTTTTCTGTATTTTGTCGTCATTGGCAATTTCTTTTGTTCTATTCTTGACTCTTCGGTGGAGTTTCCCCCCGCAAGTGCTTCATGCACACTAACCGGGAAAAAACAATTAGATGCAACATTCTCCCTCGGATTCCCCTTTTTCGTTTTCCTTTTCTTCTTCTTCTTCTTCTTCTTCTTCTTCTATCTACCTCTCGTCTCGTAATAGTTCATTTACACCAAGTAAGTGGCTCAATTCCAAACAGGCTTTTGTCTTTTCCCCTAGCCTATACCTCGGGTTCGATATTTCTTCTATGACTCTTAAAACATATTCTGTCGGCTATCGCGATACGCCTTGCATTCTTCGCTAAACACATGTGGCATTCTCATACTAACCCAAATATCCAGACCTATCATCGGCCTCGCACCGACGCTCCGCATTCCAACCAAGAGATCATCTTGAAAGTCTGATCACGAAACACGGCTACCCCACACCTGTGTCACTCTCCTCTCTGCGAGATCTGACAGCCACTTCGTCTACTTATACTCCCCCTTCGCCTCGGCCCAGTTACCCGGATCCCAGTCCGATCGACACTTTTGACTCATTTACTTTATCATCCACACGACCCATTCCTATCCCAAGACGCCCCGGTCCAATATACGAGGATCTTCCAGTGACACCACTCACGGGTCGATTCGATCACGAGTCTTATTTTGACGATTGGGAACGTGCGTCTCAGTCCGCCAAGTCCCGACAAATACCTCCAATCCGGCCTGTCCGTCGGTATCCATCGCGGCCGCTGCCATCTTCAGCAATGATGCGTGCTGATAACTCACCTTACTACTCTCCTGCTGCCTCACCTATCATGTCTCCACGACGCTCAAACTCCCCCCAGCCAACTCGCTGTCGGGCCCAGAACCCTTCCAAAGTGAAGCAAACCCAGAACTTCCATCTCGGCAGCCTGCCCCGATTCCATCCCGCTGTATATCAGTCGAGCAGCACTTCTCACAACGCTACCTCGCAGCCGCCATCTCCTCACCAGTCTCGGCAGTCCACCTACCGCACTGCAGCCGGGTCACGCGACATGATGTGGCAGTACCGTGAATTCATCGAGGGCGTCCACCAAGGTCCTTCAGCGCCCCGTTTGGATCCTCTGGTTAGCCCGGGTCCCGTTACGCCCCTGGCGCTAGAGGCGGGTGATTATCTCGCCCATGGCTCCATGAACAACACATCCGAGCGGATCCCGCGAGATGTCCCGAAGAACTCCGGCCCTCCGGCTGAGCTGGTGGAGAAGCTCATTGCCTATGAGGAGATGGCCCGGCAGATGGCGCGGAAGTCCGCCAAGGGCCGATAGTAGACTGTCCTACCCTGGCTTTGCATCAAAATGTTTTTGTTTATTATCCATTAGAGAAACGGGATCCCCCTGGGGCCCTTCCTTCGTGCCTGTTCGTTTTATATTTGCTTTTTGGTATTCGGGAACAAAATGAGCTCACTCCAGGCTGATACAGTGTGCATGGGCCTTTTGATTCTTATCTCTTTTTTTATTCTCCTTTTTGTTATCTCGTCATTCTTACCCCTCATGGTCAAACTTCGTCGGCGTCGGCCGACTACTGTGTTTGATCTTGCATCACGGCATCATGTATCTAAATTATACCCCGCTCTAGTCCAGTCTCGGACCTTGGCACATCCAAGTTTCAACCTTCAATTTCAAACATATTTTTTATCCTCCTTTGTTTGACCACACCACCCGTGGCAGCTACCAAGCTGGTGCCGTAACGTGTCCTTCCAAAATTAATTGTTACGGTCGTAAGCCAATATCCTCTGAGGCGTAGTGGACATGCTAGGTTAGTGGTTTGATACTGGGATGTGTCTGTTGATTCATATCCGCTTCACTTGCAGCCGGCCATGGCTGCCGTATAGCCCATCTGGAGTGCCTTTCTAATCTCCAGTAAGCCAGACAATGAATTTTTGTCACGTCTTTTTTTTGATCTTGTACGACTTTCACCCGGCTTCCACCGAGTCCTGCCTCAAGATCAGCCAGTCCCGGTAACCCAAATTTTACAGGGATGATATGCAGACCTTCAAAGTTAATCCCCAGATTTACTACTCCCATTAGGGCTAGCTCAAACTGTAGCTCGAAATCTCCAATTCACGCCTAAGGCATCACCCGCGATTCGGAGGAACACTCCCTCTCCCCGAGAGGAATCTGCGGGGCCCAAGCGATTATCATACCGACTCCCCTCGTTAATATTTTCCTCAATTACCTCATTGCAGTTCATATATATACCCCAGCTTCCCCAGACAAGACGCGCCGGCTTGCGAAAGCCCTCCTTGGCAGCTCAGCAACCCCAAACCACTCTATCCTTATCAGCATCGTCATCACAATTCCAAGGTTCGCTTTTACCGCCCACGCGTTGCGCACGAGCACCCCACGAGTCCAGCAGGCGTCATTTCCGTGACGCATTGGATCGCCAGATCCAGGATCGGAGATTGGGGAAATTGGGATCGAGATTCGATTCTTGGACAATGTCATCGACGCCGGCGCCTTTACCTGTTTCGGAGATGACGAGCCAACAGAAGGCGGAGAACGCGCTTGCTCAGTCTGGGACATCGAAGTCGAATTACAAGGGCTTTGTGGCGGGCGTTTTTTCAGGCATTGCGAAGCTTAGTGGTAGGTTCAAGTGTTCTGTGTTTTGAGTTGGGGTTGAAGCTAATTTTGTTTTCTAGTTGGCCATCCGTATGCAGAACTGAACTAACCCCTTCGCCTTGGGTCAATTGTTAACGAAATCGCACAGATTCGACACCGTCAAGGTTCGCCTACAAACTAGCAAAGATGTGCAGTTCAAGGGACCGTTGGATTGCACGTTGCAGACTTTGCGAAAGGAAGGGTTACAAGGGTTTTACAAGGGAGCTACGCCGCCGCTGGTCGGATGGATGATGATGGACTCTATGTGGGTGTTCCGCGGTATTAAGAGGGATAATGGGAATGACGCTGACCGTCTGCAGCATGCTGGGCTCCTTGACTCTGTATCGCCGATTACTACTCGAAAATGTCTTCTCGAAACCTCACCTCCGTTCTTACCTCCCCTTCTCGCGCTACCAGCCAGACCTCACAACCCTCCCTAGTTTCGGACACGGCATTGCAGGTATCATGGCCGGTACAACGGTCAGCTTCATTGCAGCTCCCGTCGAGCACATCAAGGCACGCCTGCAGGTGCAATACGCCGCCGACAAATTGCAGCGCATGTACAGCGGGCCGATCGACTGCCTGCGCAAGATGGTGAGTGCCAATGACTACATTACATATGTACACACCGACTAACATGGATAGGTTCGCACGCACGGCATCCGCGGCCTCTACCGCGGCCTCTGGGCGACAATCTTCTTCCGCTCGTTTTTCTTCTTCTGGTGGGGCTCCTATGACGTCCTGACTCGCTACTTCAAAGAGAACACTAAAATGTCCGCCCCTGCGGTCAATTTCTGGGCCGGTGGTATCTCCGCCCAATGTTTCTGGCTCACTTCCTACCCGTCCGATGTCGTGAAGCAGCGAATCATGACCGATCCTATGGGTGGTGCGCTGAATGACGGCAAGCGACAGTTCCGCGGCTGGAAGGACGCTGCGATCGCCGTATGGCGCGAGCGTGGGTGGAGAGGGTACTGGCGGGGCTTCGTGCCATGCTTCCTTAGGGCGTTCCCGGCGAATGCTATGGCTCTGGTTGCGTTCGAAGCCGTGATGCGTACCTTGCCCTAACTCCTTCACGGTCTACGGAGAACACGAACTCAAAATGATTACATATAGAACTTTCATGGCTAGATAATATATTAGAAGGACATACCCGTTGTTTATGCATGATTTGTCTCCGATGAAGTTAATCTCGGGTTGGGGTAGTCCGCGATCAGGAATGTGTGCTCTGTAGCGATGAGCCGCATTCGGCGATGAGACTCTTCGGGTCCCTCCTTGAAGCATCCCGAGATAGCACGGAGATACTCCAGGATCTAAGCGAATCCCAATTCGTAATTGGGCCATGCAGCTGGGATTGTGAGCTCGGCCGCCGAAGGGTCCTCGATAATGAGGTGACATGGGTTGTCTTTGGTGCTGTCTCGTTCCGGACAAGGCAAAGAATAAAACTTACACATTATCCATAGCTGCTCTCTTTAACATTTACGCTCTCTTTCACGTCAACAATATTTCCCGTAGTCGTCAGCAGGGGAGGAATTGAGGCAAATTGAATCCGGTTCCTTAGTGCCTGAGGCAGTCCCGCAGTCCACGTCAACGGTTTCACCAGACAGCGACAACGCCTCAAATCTCCAATTTAACGAATTAACGCTGATCGGCCATGGCCGTTGCACGCTCCATGCGCCGCATGAGCCCAATCGGCCTCGTGCTAGCAGCGCTGCTAGCATTTGGCTTCATATGCTTCATGCTCTCGCCCTCAACTCCCTCCGCAACCTCCGCATCCGCCAGCTCCCAACAGCGCCAGGAAAACGCCGCCGAACACCCCCTCTCCCCGCCCACCAAACCCTTCTTCAAATCCCAAGCCGTCCGCAGCGACGGCTTCAAGGCCGCCCCGCCGGTCGTGCACTACGACCTCAACAGCCTAACCAGCACCGCGGACTCCATCGCCAACGGCGAGCGGATCCTCATCCTCACCCCGCTAGCCCGCTTCTACCAAGGCTACTGGGACAACCTCGAGAAGCTGAGCTACCCGCACGAGCTGATCTCGCTGGGCTTCATCGCGCCGAAGACAAGCGACGGCAACGCCGCAGTCGCGGCTCTGGAAAAAGCAATTGCCAAGACGCAGTCGGGGCCAATCGACAACCGCTTCGCGAGCATCAGCATCCTGCGCCAAGACTTCGACCCGCCGTTGAAATCCCAGAACGAGAAGGCCCGCCATGCAATGGCCGCGCAGAAGGAGCGCCGCGAGTCCATGAGTCGCGCGAGGAACAGTCTCGTCTTTACGACGCTCGGCCCTGCGACCTCGTGGGTGCTTTGGTTAGATAGTGACGTCGTCGAGACGCCGGCTTCTCTCATTCAGGATCTGACGGCGTTCAATCAGCCCGTTATCGTGCCGAATTGCTTCCAGCGCTACTACGATTCTGCGAAGAAGAGTTGGGACGTCAGGCCTTATGACTTCAATTCTTGGGTTGATAGCCAGATTGCGCAGAACCTCGCTGCGAATATGGGGCCCGATGAGATCCTCTTGGAGGGCTATGCGGAGATGCCGACGTATCGCACCCTGATGGCGTACTTGCCTGATATGAAAAACCTCGATCCGAAGAGGATGCTTGCGCTTGACGGTGTGGGCGGTACGGCCCTGATGGTCAAGGCTGACGTGCATCGTGACGGGGCCATGTTCCCTGCCTTCCCGTTCTTCCATCTTGTAGAGACGGAGGGCTTTGCGAAGATGGCTCGAAGACTGGGATATGAGGTCATTGGACTCCCGGATTACTTCGTATGTTTTGTTTCGTCTAATCTGCAGAGAAGGGGGATGATCTTGCTAACATGCTTTTTTTTTTCAGGTCTACCATTATAACGAGTAAATGGCTGACAGCCTCTTTTTAACGTCTATTTCACTTGCATACACTGCGCTGTGCGCCTCTAGACGCCTTTCTCGTCTCTCTGAGCCATTCGAGAGATTCATTAGCAACATTCAGCTCCGTGTCCGTCTCTCTGTTGGGGGGGGGGGGGGGGGGTTTATTTCATACGTGCTTGGGATGGTTGTTTCCCCAGGTCTCAAAATTGACTTTGCATTATTCTGTGTATTACCAAGGAATATGAGTGGGTATTCATTTATGTTGGAGAGGAGTTAGCTCCAAGGACCAAGGGCGTTGCTGGCTTGATGATTCTTGTGCATTTATTTTGGCTCTAACATGGCTATTTCCATGTTCAATGAACGTTACTTATTCGTGTAAGATTGAATTTAAATGAATCATATTAGAGACGTAAAAAGCACCATAGTATCTAGTAGCAAGGCGTTGGTCTATTTATAAGTCGTCACTTATGTATCCTTTTCAATGAGCCAGAGGTATGGACTTTTGTCGTGCCAAGGCTGATAGTGCTGGGCACAGTATGATATTACCGGTGTATACCAGTATATACCAATGGCCAATACGAATTAATCAATCCCAAGAAATACTACAAAGTGTGTCAGTGATATTGTACCTGGAAAGCATTGCGGGGGAATGGATACTTACGCAAGCATAATGCCGGCTCCAAGAGCAACGGCCAAAAACTGCGTGATGGTCTTCCGCACTTCAACGCCCTTATCCTTGCCAGTCTCCAGTAACTCCGGAATCACAGCCACAGTGCCGACATACAAGAATGTGCCTGCCGTGAACGGAAGAAGCATATCACCCCAAGTAAGGCTAGTTCCCAGAAGACCACCAGACTTGCTATCATCCAACATAGTGCCATTGCCACCGAATTCCTGAACAGCGATTCCAATAAAAGTGCCCAAGAACGCACCAATAGCGGTAACAAATTGCGCGCCCATGGCCTTGCGCTTCGAGAAGCCGGACTGAATCAGCAGAGCAAAGTCACCGACTTCATGGGGGATTTCGTGGAAGAAGACAGCCACAGTGGTCGTCGCGCCGATGGTAGGCGAGGCATAGAAAGAAGAGGAAAGGGCAAGGCCATCAGTGATGTTATGGGTGAAGTCAGCGATGAGATTCAGGTAACCGCCAAGCTTGACGCTGGGGTTGATTTCCTTCTCGGGAACGACCTCAGCGGACTCCTTGGCAGCAGACTTGCGCTTCTTCAGCTCGCCGCTGGCCTTCTTGCTGTCAGCTCCGGATGTAACCGCATCGGCTGGTTTTGCGTGCGCGTGGCTGTGGGAGTGGTCATGGCCGCCCTCGCCGCCAGTGGCGATGCGCAGGGTCTTGTCCATTGCTACGAAGGTGAAGAATCCGACCATGATTCCCAGGCCTAGGAGGAGGTTCTTGTTTGGCTCGACCATTACGAAGCTCACGTGGTCGGGGGAGGCTTCGCCGACAAAGATCTCGGGGAGTAGGTGGAAGAGGGTGTCGCCAAGTAAGCCGCCGACGGCAAATGCAACCATCACTGACAGAGAGGAGGGGTCGATGTTGGGTGGGCATAGTGCCAGGAGGAAGTCTAGAGCAGTTAGCAGAGGCCTGTCATGAGAAGTGAGGGAATACTTACTGGGTGGGCCGGAGATATACAAAGTTGCCAAAAGCGCGTTCACGGCTGGGGTGCTCGGAAAGAGGACAGCAAAGATCTTCGCTGTCAAGCTAGTGGACTCTGGACGAGTTGCACGCTTATGCTCATTGAGAGACTCGACTAGTGGGCAGCTCTGTGGCAGGTTAGTTTACATGTAGGATACACAGTACGTTGTACAGCATACCTGCAATTGCTCCTCGATCTGACCCACGGAGAGCCCTCCGGGACCAACATTAGCTGCAGCTAAGGCTGAGAACAAAAAGCATCCTGCAAGAAGGGCAATGCCTGTCCTGCGTGATGGAAAAAAGCGAGAAGCCATTGCGAATGAATTGGCCAGGGTGCTGTAAAGTGACAAGCAATATACCCACGGAAGTAGAATCCCCGTGGACATCTGAGCCGCTATCGTTGTTTATCGCGGGACACCGAGCAAACATGCCAAGCCTTGCAAACTCGGAAAAAAGTTTCGATAACGCTTTTTTATTATCGCCGACTACAGCGAAGAAGAACCAATTCGACCTCTACACTCACTTCATAATTCACAATGGGTAAACTTTTGCAGAAGAAGAAGGCCCGCTCCGGGCGCTCCATGGCCCGGGCCAAGGACAGCCGTCTCAAGAGCGGCCACAAGAAGATCAATGTGCTGGGAAATCAGATCATCGCCGACAACTGGTATGCACATTTTGCTCAACTTAAAAATACAAACACTAACAACTGTAGGGATCGTGGTCTGACCCTGACACAAAACTACCAGCGCCTTGGTTTGATGCACAAGCTGAACGCACCATCTGGTGGCCGCGAACGCCTCCCCGGAAACGAGGACCAATATCCCGAGAACAAGAACTCGCTGCACATCCGCGGCAGCGCCAAAGCAGCCGCAGCCAAGCTCGACCTCGGCGAGACACGTGTCGAGCGCGATCCCGAGACCGGCAAGATTCTGCGTGTCATCCACGACGACGAAGACAACATCCAAGTGGCGGGCCTCCTGCGCTCGCGCAACAACCCTCTCAACGACCCTCTGAACGACATTTTGGGAAGCAAGGGCGAGAGCAATCCTCTCGCGGACTCGGTGATTGTGCAACAACTCGAGCGCCAGGCGGATCAGGAGGGCAAGACTGTCCGTGCTAAGAAGCCGCGGTACCAAAGCTCGCGCGAGGGCGAGTGGGCTCAACGCTTGATTGAGAAGCACGGCGATAATTACACTGCTATGACCCGTGACCGCAAACTGAACCCTATGCAGCAGAGCGAGGGTGATCTGCGGAGGAGACTTAACAAGTGGAAGAAGAGTCAGTCGTAATGCCTTCATTTGTTCAGAGCATCTGGTTAGGGCGAGTCTGGCGTTTATATTTTTTTGTTTATCAAAAGTGTCTACGTGGATGCAATGTGTCCCGAAGTAAATATTATTGGACGGCGACTGAGCCGCTTGGATTCGTTATCTTTTTCCTTTAGCTGTTACTGCTGAGCGTCGAGTAGGTGACACCCCCGGCCGGCGGGAGGCTTATTCGTTGCACCACTCGTACCCATCGTCGGCGTCTCCATTCTCCCACTCCGTAGGACGCAGTGCCTTCCTCCCAATC